TGGGTCTGGGCGGTCACCTCCGTGGCGCCCCACACCCTGGCACGTAGCCTTCCTGGTCACTGATCACTGTTGTTTTGGAAAGAGAACCCCAGTTCCCGGCATGCGGGTCTGCGTCTTCCAGCTGTTCCTCCCTGACTGGATGAAGCATCCCTGCTGATTCTGGACACGGAACCTCGCTCTCCCAGGCCTGCGCGCCGGTGCGGTGAGGCCTCCGCTTCCTCTGGCTAGTGCACTCCCCGCTGGATCACGGGCTGAAGAAACTGGAGCTGCGGGCCTGCCAGCTTTCAGGCTTGGAAACCGTCAGTGCCTGGGGGCCTCAGGCCAGGGCGTGGGGCACCGGACTGGAGGCAGGCTGGCTGGTGGCTGAGGCCGAGTGCGTCTGTGGCCTGGCTGGGGGGGGACTTGGCCCAGCTCCTGGAGGGGCTGGTGGGCGGGAGGCGCAGGAGGGGGCTTTTCTGCTGGCCCGTCCCCCAGGCCTGGCTGTCTCGGGATGCTGCTCCTGGGTCCCCAGGGATTTGGCTGTCTTGACCACGTCCTCCTCCTCTTCCCTGGACCTTCTGCCTTCCTGGGAGCCACCCAGACTCCAGGAAAGCTTCGAGAAAGGGAGGAGGGAAGGGGAGCACTCTCAGCTCTCTCTAGATCCGTTCAGCAGGGCAGTGGATTGTGAGGTCATATACTGCAAAACGCCCCTTTAGAGAGAGTTTCTTTGGGGACCAGCCCCAAGTGACGCCCACACATGCCGAGTGTGCACAGGCCCCTACACAAAAACACATGGAGAACCCGGGTAATTTTTTCCACGGTGGAAGCAGAAACAGGGAGACAGGGCAGTGGCTTGCCCGGTGGAGACTCCCTCTGGCATGGTGTCTGTGGCCCCAGGAGGGACTTGGGTACAGAGGTGGGTGAGAGGAGTGGGCTTCGGAGGCGCTTGCTTTCCCCGTGCCCCTCAGCCTTTCTGTGTTCCCCTCTCCTGGAAGGTGCCAGACCCCCCTGCAGCAGGGGTGGCTAAAAAAAGCCCCAGGACCCTCAAAATGGCAGAGGAGAGCTGAGCCCCCAAAGTCTTCAGGCCCCAGGGGCCATCTAGGGGACTGCCTGTCCCTTCGGTGAGAGAGGGAGACTGTTCTGTTCTGGTAGAGCCCCTCGGGTGGTCCAGGCCCCTCTGGGTCCATCTGCCACAAGTGTGGAGAGCCATGGTCAGCACACCTGCCTCTCTGATGACTTGCTGACCTCCTGGGCCCCAGCCTGAGGTGGCCCCATGGAGCCCGGCCTGGGGACGCCCCCACCCCCACCCAGTCAGATTAGAGGCAGCCTGTTCTTGGAGACCACAGGGGCCTGCCCAGTCAGGTCCTCACGGGACGTGTCTGTCCCAAGCCCAGCCAGACTCCAGTCCCGGCCCTCAGCTCAGCACGGCCCTTCGTGAAACTCCCTCTCCCTTGGAGCCTGTCGACGAAGCTCCCCAGAGAGGAAGGTTGGCCAAGTCCAAGGCGAGCGGGCGTCTCCCCCCCACACCCCGGCCTGCAGCCGCCTGAGCCAGGTAGCAGGCCAGTACCATCCCCCACTCTCGGATGCTCCTGGTGACCTCCTTTCTTGTGTATGTTGTGGTCACCCAGACGTCACTATGATGTCACCCAGCGAGCGCATC